AGAGTATTAGTGCATTAATGAGCTTTAAGTCCAGGGATTCGATGTATGAAGTAGAATATGTATTTGGCCAGCAGTTAACTATGGTGACATGTGATCATCTTTCTGTCTGAGCACCTTTATTTTCCTGATTATATAATACCTAGTATAGTTGTGTGAACTTAGAACATTCTCATCTCCACAAGGATTTGAACTCATGATCCTTCAGTTTAGAAGCTAAGCCCTCCTTTGCTACTCTGCCTGCTAGAAAATATAAGGCTATACAAATTGATACACGCTAACAGAAAAAGGTAAAATGTAAACAAAATATTGGAATAAAAACGTTTTATAACAATTTCAAAACTCTTCCCCGACATCATCTCAGAAAATAGAGGCATCCATTTTAGATGATTTAGAAGCATGAAATTATCATTCCCTTGCTTTAAAATGGCACACTCTTATAAAGTGCACATTTACACAATGACAGATCTCAAAAAAGTGCACACTTCAAGTTTGTATCTATCCATTTAACTCAACCCAAAACATACTTATGTTTTCTGGAAGTTTTCATTGCATTGTAAATAAGATTATTTTTTTGTTTTGTTTCTATGATCTATCTATTCTAGTCAAACTAACCCAATGGTCTTTCATAATTACTGCTGACTTATTATCTAAGTTTATATATACTTGTGATCTTTGCCTGTCATCGAGATTGGTTTGCTTTTTTTTTTTCTTTTTTTGTTTCCAAAGACAGGTTTGAATGGTCATTTGAAAGTGACCATTTTGTTAGTGATTGTTTTTATGTTTTTTTTATTTGTAGTTGCTGGCTGTTCTTAGCTAAATATTGAAATGGATTTATTTTTAGAATCTCAGGATAAATGTTACAATCATCTCGTCATGTTACCCAGAATTCTAAGTTAATCTGTCAGTATTTCAAAATGTATGATTAAATATAAGATCAGTATTACAAAATGTTTGTGATGTAATACTAAATAAATAAATAAATTATGGCTTTTATAGAGCGCTACTTTCATGCTTATGGTCAGAGCGCTATGGTCCAATCTCATTTGTGGGGAAGTGGAGGGGGTATCTGGGACTCTGCTAGAGTCGGATGCCGAACCTCAAGCCCCCTTCGTAGGTAGCCAAGCCAAGTTCAAGCGTACTTGGCCTCTCGACCACGCTTCCCATTAGAAGGAATGTGTTGATAATGTTAATGTGTATTTACTTCAATCAGTAGTGTGTTCATCCTTTGTTTAACCTGCGGTGGACAGAAGTGTGAAGAAAAAAAGGTTATTTTACACTTTTGTTTGTTTAATAAATGAAAAACTGTCATGGAATCCCCAAATTGATGAAACTATCAAGACATCAAACAAAGCATTATGGTTTATTAAAAGAAATTTTTATAAATCAAATAAGAACATAAAACTAAAATGTTATTTAACCTTGGTTAGGCCAATAATAGAATATGCATCCTCTGTTTGGGACCCCTCTACTCAAGAAAACATTAAGCAACTGGAACAGACACAAAATAGAGCAGTGAGATTCATAACAAATGAATATTCACATTTGACTAGAGTAACCCCTTTAGTAAATCACTAAATTTAGAAAGCCTTCAGGAAAGAAGACTTAATCTTCAAATACAAAATTTAATAAAATACTCAAAAAGATAAAGGCACATTCCTTGTTCCATATGTTAGGACAAATTTGTACAAATACTCCTTCTTCCCAAGCGCTATTAGAGCATGGAATGGGTTGCCTGAGCTAGCCAGGAAAACCAGTGACTTGGCAGAATTTAAGTCATTGGTTAATATGCATGACTAAATGCATGACGCGTAGGACGTAATCATCATCTTCTTTTTGAAGTAACGTCTGTATTATATAAGATAAGAAGTTGAAATGTCTGTGAGTTTAAATACAACCAATGTATAGCTCAATGATAGAAACAGTATAGACCTAGGACAGTATTTTATTTATTTACTCATAAGAAGTCTGGATGTACCAACCAAGGCTGCTTTGACTGAAAGGAAGCTAAAACTGTAAAGGTCATTGGGGACAAGAGGCTGATCTCATGTGATAACAGTCAGAGCTGGTCAGTTTGTGATGCCCTTTTTCCATAAATGGCACTTCATGACGAACAAACTGTTTGTGACTGATTTTGTCTAGGTTATGTTTATTGTGAATGTATTTTTTTTGAATGAACACTTTTATTTGTATCTAGATAACTTTACGTGTATGAGAATATTTGACTTATCTATATTTATAGTGTCGTTTTAAAAACAAAAGATTGACTTCTCCGTCCAATGCAATAATGATATTTCACAGTTTAATATATATTATTTCATGCCTGATGATGTTCTGTGTATTTGTATTCTATTTGTATTGTAGAGGTATTGTAATGTCCATATGTTCTTCTCTCTAGCTTATAGATCTCAAAAGCTAACCAAAAAGTGATTGAACTTCTGATGTAGGTACTGTGCTAATCATTTTTTTGTTTTGTTTAACTTGCCCTTAACATCATATGCCTCATAGATCACAAGTTCTGAAAGGGGAAGTTTAACTTTAAATTTAGTTTTTCAACTGTTTTACATTCATAGACCTTTTTATAGAGCAAGATTTACAAATCTTATACTTGTGAAATACCATTCATTCATCTATCAAGAGATCTCTGGTACAACTGAATGGATTTACATAAAATCGATAGAGTTGCAGTCTGAATGCAGCAAAATCACAAAAACTCTTTGTATTTAATTTTTGGTATTGCCACATAATGGTCGCAGTCTATATATAAAGCTAAAATACAAATGTTCAAATGCTTAAAATAGACTTCCATATTTTTTAAAACATAGTTTCTTTCTTTTTCCTTAAAATAGGAAATAGCTGATTAGCTGCATGAATGCTTGTTAGATAATTCTAAATCTAGAGATAAAATCCACAGACAGTGGCTATATATAGATATATATATAGATGGGTCTCTAGATGTAAAGTCTTGATCTATAACTAATTTTTTTTTAATGTCATGTGTAAAGAGTGGATAAAATTGTAAAATTTGGCCTCTTTCGAACTTTTTCACTGGAGGAGAAAGGCTTAAATGAAAGTTCAAGGGTCAAAAGTTAATGTGGGAAAGCGTTATGATAGGCAGGATGCAAAGGTTAGGCTGGCCACATAGAGTACCCTGTACATCAAATATTTCTTTACTAAACTGAGACGCCTAAAGCTGTGATCTTTTCTTGTAACTTTAAGCCAAGTAGGAAAAAGAGTAGGCCTCAAAATAAGCCACCAAAAACTAAAGTACTTAAAGTAAACAATAAACAAATTGGAGACAGTACTGGATTCTCAGACAATAGACCAAGTACAAAATTGTATATACCTTGGGAGTGTAGTCAGTATATCAGGTGGAACAGATGAAGACATTAAACGCCTTATAAATCTAGCGCGTCAGACATTTACACAGCTAAAACCAACCTGGAAATCTCACATCACAAACAAGACTAAACTAAGAATCTTTAACTCCAATGTCAAGGCTGTCCTACTGTATGGTTCTGAAACATGGAGAACAACTGAAGCAAAAAAACAAGATTGGTCACACCCTTAGAAAAGATACCAGCAACAGAGCTAGGCAGGCCTTAGAGTGGAACCCCCAGGGAACAAGACGCAGAGGAAGACCAAAAAGAACATGGCGACACAGTGTACTTGAAGAAGCTGAGAAGACCGGGAAGAGCTGGGAAACCATCAAAAAAGCTAGCAAGAGACCGTGGAGAGTGGCGTGTTTTTGTCGAGGCCCTATGTTCCACAAGGAACTCAAAGGAGTGATGATGATGATGAAACTGAGATGCCAAAGAAAAGCCAGAGATAATATGTAAAACTACAATTTAGTTGGTGGGGGGGAGATAAGTGATACTAGGATTCACAGGCCAATAATATGTGGGTGGTTGTAAAGTGGGTCATTCCATAAGAAGTCAATGACTGTGCAAAACAAAATTGGAGGGAGGCTCTAGCAAAAAGATATATATATATATATATATAGCCTAGGAACAAATCAACGGGCATAGTGTGTAATGCTAGTACCAGATAAGTAAAATGTTACTGTTAGATGTTTGCATATTTATGCAAAAATCAAGAGGCTAAATGTGGCTAAGCAGCAATGGCCAAGAACAGTTTTAAGTCAGAGAGATCGGGTTATAGAGAAATCCTTTACCAAAAAGGCACTTGACCACTTAGGCTTTGACCTAACATGGTCAATAAATTGAATGCCCCAAGGATAGCAACAGCATGGAGGCTGAAATGAGGACATCATGGTATAACATGTTACCACACCTTCATGGAGGATCTTAGGCTATGGACACCAGCTGGGAAGAGGCTGCAAACATTGCTGGAGACCAATTTCTAAGGAGATACATGCTGCCTAATGTAGCTAATGGGAGAAGATTAAAGTTTTAAGTTGATTGATCACTTTATAAGAAAAAAGTAACAACCTAAGTGATATTTTCATTGTTCTGATCTAAGTCAAAATAATTTCAAAGACGCGATGCTAGTTATAATCTACCAAAAGGGTGTAGGCCTACTATTAAAAAAAAATAATAATAATAAAGTTTGCATGTGTATGCACTTACATATAAACATTTTTAAAACAAGATTTAAAAGAAGTTCGTGTTGATGCAAATGTACAAATTGTAGTTTGTGAAATAGTGTTTGATTTTATAAAAATGAAATGTACAATTTAAAAAAGACTTTATAAACTTCTACCCTCTGACCTTTCCAGTGTTTATCACCTCCTAAACATCATCTCTGATCATGTAGCCCTTCATTCAAGTAGTATTATTGTCCTTGACCATAGGATAGAATATTCAAAATACAGTAATACTTAAAAATGGAACTCAACAAAAGATTTTGAAGAAGAGTTGTATCCTGCTCTGTTGAAACTGATCTGAATAAGATGTTCTATGGGTAACAGGTAGCAGCAGGTCAAGAGATGAGAAAATACCAAAGTATAAACTTCTTTAAAATGAAACACACAAGTCTGTCAGTAAAAACATAGTCATTTTTTTATTTAAATATTATAATGATGCAAAACATATTGCATTTCAAAGTTTATATTGGCATCACCTGACAAACAGCAACCATTGTGATTAAAAAAAACAACAGAAGCAACCGAATATGTACGTAAAAAAACTAGAGTGTAAACTTAGCCAAGGTAGATAAGTCATCCCAGTTGAACTCATAAGAGCTTGCCATGATAAGTGTTGCAAATTTTAGTGAACAGTTTTGGCACTATACATCTTAAGTCTCACAACTCTGGTAACTAAGTCTACAACAGCTAAGAAAAAAGATCTTGAGGAAAAACGAATCATGCCAAGACTAAGTCATGGCCAAGTGTTACACTCAGTACCTTCACTCTAGCTTTTTTACACTTTTCGATAAAACTAAAGCTCTTAGGTGAGACGGTTATTGGTCCACTTGAATAATTGCAACAACAATTTATATTTAACAAAAAGATGTTAACTCTTAATCAGTTATGAACTGAGTTACATACATTCATTTATTGATTAGAAACTACCTTCATGCAAGCGAATCATTTCACTAATGCAGATTTATAACTAAATTTATGAAATAAAGCAAAACAAAAATCATTATAAGATTCTAAAAACCAAAATTCAGACCATGATGTGAAGCATCACCCAATTGCAAACAGTCAATAAGCTGACCAGACAGCTGGCCGGGCCCTCTCTGTTGAGTGCTGTACTGGGAATACATTTAGGTTTCTATTGTGACAAAAAGAGAGAATTGATGCTGGTGGCGTGCCTAGAGATGGGCAGGGTTGAAACCGACAGCACCAGATCTTTTTTTTAAATATGTCTTCTTTTCTACATGCTATAGTAGAGTGATCCCAAGGTGCAGGTAACTAGGTAAGCTTCCTATCAATGTTTTTAGATCATTAATAAACATTTCAGTTAATTGAACAGAACATCTCCCTGAATACAAAGGTCTAAACTCTGGAGACCCTTGCTGATGTGATCAATAAAAATGCATGCATTGGGTGCTTCCTTGTTTCCGTGCTGATGACATGAGCTTAAAGTGGATGAATGTATTGGATGCCTCCTGTTTCTGTGCTGATGACATGAGCTTAAAGTGGATGAATGTATTGGATGCCTCCTGTTTCCGTGCTGACGATATGAGCTTAAAGTGGATGAATGTATTGGATGCCTCCTGTTTCCGTGCTGATGACATGAACTTAAAGTGGATGAATGTATTGGAAGCCCCCAATGTTTGTGCAATAAAAACATGAAAAATATATAAAATACTCAAAGTACTTTGTTAGGATCTGAAGGTTGTGCTCTAAGAAACAAATATTAAAAGGGCTTCCCTGAAGCATACACATTGTATGTAATACATGACAAATTTCCACTGCAAAAATATCTGATAGAAAAGCCTTTCTTTAACGCCACATGTTAGATTTATCATTATTATAAATTTGAATGATTTTGTTTATCCTGTTTTGCGTAGCCCCAAAGGTTCTAAACCGATTTTAATTCCTGAACATAAAGTGCCATTTAAGGATCAGATTTTTTCTTTATTGTTGCTTTTAGTCTCTATATAGAGCATTAACAAACTTGGGCACTAAAAAGTTAACATTCTTATTTAATTTAATTTCTAGTATGAAATGATTCCATGTTTTTAAAGTACTATTGATTGACCAATAGATGCTTGTTTATAATTACTGTAAGTTTCAGCAGTTAAAGATTTGAAGTCGTTCTATCTTTTCACTTCTACATTCTGTATTTTGTTTGAGATTCATGCATAAGACGCAAAAAATGACTTTTACTGTGTGCTGTCCTTACAGCAAGTCTCCAGGCCATTTTGGGCTTCAACAAATTATAATTTTAAAATTTTAAGAAATACTGTACTAATTTGAAAAAAAAAAAATCAAGAAAACTTATTTTTATATAATCAAGAAAACCAAAGATAAAAAAAAAAAAAAAAAAGGTTTTAAAACTATTTTTGTTGTCAATGACAAGACATCAAGTAGATAGACTTTTGAGCAGCTGATAGTTCCATCAAGTAACATGAGAAATATTTGCACTACTATTCATGAGTAAAACAATGAACACAAGATCTAGGTGGAGGATGTCAGGAATTCTTGAACAGTTTTCAACTCCCGCTGCAACCACTTTGCATTGAGCTTGATGTTTTCAATACTTTGTTGAACAGTTCTCTCGGCTGCTGGCATGGGATGCTCCTTGAAGAAAGCCTGGGAAAAATCAATCATCAATCAGCAAATGACCATTCTTAAGGTTCGACTGGGTGAACAGTTTAAAAACAACATGGTGGAATCAATCTTAGCAACAGCTTAACCCAATAGCTACTAATTCCATTTTTAAAAAGTTTCACGCAAAAAAAAAATTAAAATAGCAAAAAAAAATTATTACAAAATATAACAATACTAGTCAGATATTACCTTTGGCCTGCGGGCCTTAGTTTGTGTATTATTAATCTAGTGGCTTGGATTTAGATCTATGTGTTCAAACTTGGCTAATGTTCCTTTCAAATTTGTGTAGATTGCAAAAATGGGTTTACTTGTTAAGCCAATACATTCATAGAAAAGATAAAATACTGTGCAAACGGGTTTACTCAATTTTTTTGGGTAAATTTAGCTATTAAATGGATTTACTGATTTGTTAAAAATTTAGTGCTTTAATAGAAGAAACAATTAGGTACTTTTTGTCTGTTTTTAGGGCCTTGCGGTTGTGGTAAGAACATTAAACATATACAAGGGTTTCTGCCATGATATAAGGAACATTTATGCCAAGTTTTATCAAGATTGGTCAAATAGTTTCTATGCCAGACATACATACATACATGCAGACGGCTTACTTTCTGCTTTATATTATACATGTCTAATAATTAAAAAAAAAAAAATACTTTCAATATTTTAGAATAGAAAAAGTTTTTTTTTCACGGCAATATAAGAACTTTTGTTAAAAAATTTTGTACAAAAAAAAGAAGATTCCATCTTCTTATAAATTACAGACATTTCCTCAAAAGAGAGGATAATTACATCCTACGCATGTGTACTAATATTTTTGTTATACTTAGATAAGCTAAGTTAATCTTCTCATTCTGATTCAAACACAAACAGCTCTTCTAACATCAGGTTAAAAACTGCTGGTATTTTCCTAGACCACTAATTGAGCATCGTAAACATTGTATTGGGTTAGAGAGCTATCCATAATTGAATTCTGTTTACCTCTATTTCCTGGGCTTTCTCTTCTATTGCAAATGATTCAGTAGTTGCCTGCAGAAAGATTGTTTTGGTTAATTAATTAATTTCAACTATATTTAAGATTGAACAAATGATAAATTAAAACAAAGTTTACAATTTGCAAATGAAAATAAGTGGAAAAAGTTTATTATGATTGAGGGCATATGGACTTTCAGAATTTACATCTGTAAAGTATTAAAACAGGGGAAGTTAATTAGGACTAAAATATACATTTCTTACCTGCACTAGCCTAGATAAAAGAAATCCACCTTCATAGCGTTCATTCAGTATAGAGAACTTGTTTTTCATAAACTCCCAAGCTAGCTCTCTGCCTACTACAGAACCTGTTGTGCTACCGATGACAAACACTGCATCCTGGGACCTTACTTTTTCCTGAAACATAAATTATAGCTTTAATATAGCGCTACTGTCATGCTTAGCCAACATTCGTTGGGGAAAAAGTAAAGGAGGTTAGTCATTCTGCTGGTCGCATGACACCCTTGTTAACCATAGGCTACAGAAACAGATGACCTTAACATCATCAGCACCATAGATTACAAGGCCTGTGAGGGGAACTTTTTTAAAATTCAAATTCAACTTGTAGAAAAATGTTAAGTTACAATGAAATACAAAATGTGAAGCATTTGTTTTTTTTGCCACAGGAAAGTAATGGAACTTACTGACAAAGAGAACTCTAGAACTGTTTCAATGAGTTCCTTGTCCTGAACAGAGCCCATGGCACGGCTGAGTCTGACTTTCTCTTCTTGCATATCTGCTTCATCATACAGCTAGCAAAGACAAATAAAGAAAAATTACCAAAACATTATCAACAAAATCTATACATAATTTATTTCTTGAAAAAAAAAATAAAGCTTGAATAGTTATAATAAATTGTTTGTTTGTAAGTGTTAGCTTTTAGTTGATTACTGATAAGTGACTTTATAATTTTTAAAAAAAATCCTTTTTGTATAAACATATTGGTTACATCAGTTACAACAGTGTTGTAAATACTAAGCTGCTTTCAGATGTAACTATGAAAGTGACTTATGAATGGGAAAGTCAAAACAAAACAATTAAGGCTCCTCTACATTAGGGTTAGAGAGAGAAAAAAAACACTATATTCAACTTTCAGTCAGGGTGTTAAAAGTCATTTATTGTCAACAGCTGGCTGTGTGAATGTGTCTTTTTTAATTTTCTTTAAATTGTATGTGTTGGCCTCGATATTGTTTTTGTTATGGTTATTGTTATGGTAGCAATGCTGAGGAGGAAACATCTAGTCATAACAACAATATGAACATATGACATGTTCAAAAATATATTGTAGTTGTATTCTAATGAAAGCTAATTTAAGATAATGAGACCAAGTTATTATTTATTTATTTGGTTTACTTCTACTGTGTTATAAATTATCCTAGTTTTAAAAAAAATTGAAGAAGATTCCAACCTTCATAACTTGTTGAAATGTTTCAGCATCACCATTGTGTAGAACTGTAGTGTAAACCTGGAATTCAAAGAGAACATTCCCTTTACACAAGCTTCTTTAAACTAAGTTTTTAAGGTGCAACAGAACAGGAATGCATAGAATTGTATTGCGCTTAATCCTAGCTCCATGATTTATTCATAGGTTTACGACAATCTATAATCAATGTGACAATCTATAATACATTGCCAACTTTGAAAAACACAATGCAAGACTTACACATGATCTAAGATCAGCAGGTAGCTTGGCAGTGCCATTAACGTGAGCCTCAAACCTTCTCCTAGCCTCTGCCACAGTTGCTTCATCCCCACAACGCCCCATCCTGGACAAGACAACTTCTCTCAGCAAAGGAACAAGTGTATCTGGAATGAAGAGAGAACCCTTAGATTAGTCATTCAATGGAGGCAAGTACACAGCTTTAAATGATGCCTTCCGAACCTGGGGTCCTGGGTTCGAATCTCAGTGAAGACTGGGATTTTGAATTTCCGGATTTTTGAGGCGCCCTTGAGTCCACCCAACACTGATGGGTACCTGACTTAAGTTGGGAAAAGTAAAAAAGCAGTTAGTTGTACTGGCCACATGACACCATGTTCGTTAACCGTTGGCCAAAGAAACAGATGACCTTAACATCACCTGACGCAAGGTTTGAAAGGGGTACTTTACTTACTGCAAATGGATCCCTGAAAAGTATGAGTGCATTACTTAATTAGCTGGTTATTTAACACTATAGATTATTTTTAGGATTAGGACAGTCCTAACATCTCATTACTTGGAAACAACCTTAATGTCAGACACACATATGAGTTCATAGATTCTAACACTATACTGACCAAAACATTAGTTGAATACATATAGAGATCTTCAGTAAAACTAAAAATGAATGTGTCAAAATTTTGATAGGCCAGAATATTTGTAAACATCAGGGGCAAGGTCAAGATTAGCTTGCAGGTTGATTCCTGGTAAGTGTAGCTCTGATGACCTGATGTCAGACACACATATGAGTTCATAGATTCTAACACTATACTGACCAAAACATTAGTTGAATACATATAGAGATCTTCAGTAAAACTAAAAATGAATGTGTCAAAATTTTGATAGGCCAGAATATTTGTAAACATCAGGGGCAAGGTCAAGATTAGCTTGCAGGTTGATTCCTGGTAAGTGTAGCTCTGTTTAGTGTGTCATCTTAAAGTAGTTCCACATTCAATTCTCTACATCTATTTGACTATTTGGAATCATTGTAATTGTAGAAACTAGTACTCTTTGTGGATGTATACATTGTGTTTAAACTAATGAAGTTAAACCCTGAGTTCCAGTCAGGCCAGAGACAATAAATAGTCCAATGCATC